TTCTAGACCCTATAATTATATATTCGTTCTATTCTGTCTAGTGTTTCCGGTGTGCGGTAGTTGGAAGTGTAGTGGCCAGCCGGGTCGTTACATTTTACTTTTTCAATATCTATTTTATTACAAGGTAAATTTTATTAAAATAAAAAAAACCTGATTTTATTAATTTTAATAAACTTTAACTAAAAGTGTGTTAAAAAATTATAATTCTAACATTCTTTATTACATAAGAAATGTAACAAAAGTATTTTGCATTCCAATCTCTTCTTCTTCATATTATATCAGTCACAATAATTTGTTTTAGTCTGTTTATTTCAATAGTAATTAAAAAAAAAAGAAAATGAGAAAAGAGAAGTGTAACAACCTGACAGGTCATTGCACTTACTATTGAAAAATCAATGTTAAGCAACAAAGGATTTGTCGTTCATCATTGGGAATAATGCTCAATCCCAAATTCTTTGTCAGCCCATTGCTCAACATCAAGAGCAGCGCTTAGCCTCAAATTCTCTATCAATCCAATGCTCAGCATCGAAAGCAATGCTAAGTCTCAAATTCTCTACCAGCCCAATGCTCAGCATTGAAAATTATGCTCAACATTGGGACTAGACAACTACTCAATCATTCAATTCAGAAACTTCAAATTCACACATGGAACTTAAAATCAACTACATGCAACATCAAATTTCATATATATGCAACATTCTCAACTCATTTTCAACCAAAAACAACACATGCAACAATAAAGGCCTCAAGATTATCCATTTTTGCTCAACTCACTAAGAGAACATCAAAACTCCAAATCTCCTTTGTGACCCACAACCCAACCAACAATAAATCCAACAATGCAACACAAAACTGGGGATTTTGAAAGGCATCAAACAACATGCATACCACACAGGAACAATGCAAGTTTCACCTACGTCTTAGGGGGGAACAAAATCAGCCAAGAGAGAGAGGGAAGAAGTTCCGCATAGATTTGAGCTTGGCTCCACAACATAGCTTGAGGAAGAAGTCTCATAATTACTCACCGACTACACAAAGAAAGGGAAGAAGAAAATGTGTAGGAAGGAGAAGGAAGAGTTCATTCCTCTTACACTAATTCTAGCCAACTAAATAGAATTATGAGACCCCCTAACCTAAATGTTACAAGATGTGAAAAAAAAATTTGTGTTGGTTGACTTAAGAAAAGAGTAAAGAAAGAAAGAATATTTAGTAAAATTCACTTAAAAAAATATCATCTATTATGAAGGAGAAAAAAGAAATTATTTTTTTAAAATTATAATTTTAACTTTATTATCATTTTTTATCTCATACATTAACGAGAAATATATCCTTAAAAAAAAACTATTTTTTTTTCATTTTTTCTATCCAATAAAGTAAGCTTTTCTTATACCTCTTTCAATTAAAATATCTTAAAATTTTATACATTTTCTCTTTTCTCTTAGTTCTATACGTGACTCTTTTTTTTTTTCACTTCTGTCTTTATATGAACAAAACATTTAAATAATAATTAAAAGAAAAATCTTTCACCCAAAGGTGGTCAATGACTCACGACGTACATGGATATAACTCGCAATAGAATGTAACCGCAAAGCACACTTTTCAAGATACAAACAAGTATTTCAAATTCATGTTTTCATTCAACAGAATTAATTTTGTTTGATAACATTGTATTTCACTTTCAAAACCAATTTCAAGAGTGATAGAGTTGATTTTGAAATAATACCCCTTTAACATATTTGAATATCAACATAAGTTATACCAAAGAAGATCACGCGCTCATACCATATCACCACTAGTTGGACCTAAACTAGTATAAGAGAAATTCCATTATTATTCAATCGTAGAAGTATCACATATAATAATAAGTACTTTTTTTATTAAAAAAAATCAGATTCTCTCATATATTTTTTTTTTGTAAAGATCAGATTCTCTCATTTAATAGAATGTGAGAGTACAATGAAGAATATAATAATAAGTAGTTTAAAAACCATACCCAAAACGAGTACTAATTTATTTTTTTCTGAGTCAGCAATAAAATGTGTTCTAATTAATTGATAGTATGATACATGATAATTAAAATTCAATTTTTGAAGTATAAGAACTAAAAAAAATGAAGAATTTAATTATAATATATTATGTAAAAAAATTTATACTATTATTCAATCATAAATTATAATAAATTGACTTATATTTTTGTCTTATTTTATTCAATTTGTAATTTTGGTCCTCTAGATTTTTTTTTTGTAATTTTAATCTTCTAATTTTACAAAATTATAATTCATAATTTTGATCCTCTAGATTTTACTTTTGTAATTTTAATATTTTAATTTTATAAAATATAAAATTTTAGGTTTTTTCATTAAATGTTTATTTATTGACAGTTAAAATTATAATATTGGTCATGACTTTAAATTAAATTAATGACATGACAATTGATATTGAGTATTACTTTCATTTCAAAATGATTGTAGTTTAAAATTTTTTGCACACAGATTAAAAATAACAATAAGTGTATACAATTTTACTAAAATAATCTCACTTTTTCAATAAATGCACTTTTTTTTAATTAAGATGATTGAATAATTTATGAAAAATAAATTAAAAAATAATATTATATTAAAAATTAAGAACATAAGTTGTTTAAGGATATTTTTTAAATGCTATCATTTATGTAATATTTTTCTAAATATTTTTCATGTAACACTAGATTGTTAGTAAGGGGTATTTAGCATGTTGGTGATAGTGGGCAAACTTTAGTTTTGTCATCTTCTTCCCTTAGATCACCAAGAGTATTAGAGTTGTGATTCTTGTTGTTGGATAGAATTTAGAGTACTTGAGGTTAAGAATCAAAGCGGATTTGGTGCGAAGCTACCTCAAAGCACGAAGTTTTTCTTTTCCTCTTCCTCATTTCTCCAATTTTGTGGCTCGAAATTGAGGTAAGGAAAGCTAGACTAGATTTTTATTACATGTTTGAGCTGAATACATGATTTTGTTGTTGATTGGTTGCAATTGTATGGGCAAATTGCATGATCTTGGTTTGGGCTATTAGGCCTTGAGGTTGTGGTATACAAGAGAAGAATTTGGTGGAATTGATATACCTTTTGTTGCATGCGTGTTTTGGACTTGGAGTTAGGTTGTTTGAAGTAGTTATATACTTGTTTATATGTTGCATGATGAAGATTCATGTTTTTCAAGTGGATTAAGGTAATTTTCGGGATATGCAATTATAGAACTCTAGTGTCACATCGGGCGAGCATTCATGGCATTAAGGAGAAGTTTCTAACTTGGTCAACACAGTAGGCATGGTTTGAATGGCATCAGGCCTGAGGTGAGAGAATTGTCTTTACCTAAATTGGCATTGGGACCCAAAGGAATGACACCTAACATGAGGAGAGAGTACAGTCTCGGGTTGACGTGAAGTCGAATGTAGGATTTTGCCATGCAAAGAGTGAGGTCCTAGGAGTTCCTTACCTTAGCCACATCAAGTGTGAGTTGAGTGGTGTTGGGCATGAGCGAGATAGAGAGCTCACCTCAATGGTATTGAACGTAAGTTAAGTTGGATCAAGCATGAGTTGTATTATGTTTATATGTTGATTTTATGGATTTCACATGAAAACATGAATTTGTAATACTATAAAATTTAATTAAAAAAAACATCATAAATAATAAAAATAAAAATAAAAAGTAGAACCAACACAATTTTTTATCTTTTGAAAAATAATTACATCTATCTTTTGATAAATAATTGACTTTAATGTCTCTTAACTAATATTTCTTCACATATCTAAAATTATACCAAATATTCATTCATTGACATATTCTCTTTCATGCACTTGAATCTAAATAATATGTTCAAAATTATATTTTTCATTAACGGATAATATTGAAGATAGAGATTCACCCACTAATTCAATTAGAAATTTATCATAACGATATTTTTTTGTGAAAAAAGTTACATAGTGCTACATCTTACTAAAAGTTCAACTTGTGCCTTAAATAAAAATAGATATTGTGATTTAAAAATGTAAGACATGATTTAAAAATATTAAATATTTTCTCAATACATTTCTTAAGTAGTTAAATTTTAATAATTTAAAAGTTTTAACAATAAATAATATTTAATAATAAAAAAATTATTTTAAATATTTAATAATTAAAAAATATTAATAAGTTTTACATCAATTGATAGATAAAAAAATATAGGAGAAAAAGATATAAATGAGAGATCAATAAAAAAAGAAAGAGATAGAAAAGAGACAGAGAGAGAGAGCAAGAAATTGAGAAAGGCCAGAGAGAAAAAAGAATGAGACAGAAAAAAAAAAAAAGATAAATGAGATATATGAATAAAAAGAAAAAAAAATAAAGAAAAAAATAAGAGAAAGAATCAAGAATGATGAGAAAGAAGAACAAAGATAAAAATATGATAAATAAGTAAAAAAGACAAGATTTTTTTTAAAGAGTAAAAAAAAAAAGGAGTAGAAATTAAAGAGAAAACATAAAATTTTAATGATTTTAATGATATTGTTTGATAAGTGAATTATATGTAAATTATACTCACAAAATATATTATTCAAAATAATTCATTAAAATCTCTATATTTTTAAATATTAATAAATTTTAAGTAAAAATAAATAAATCTTACTAAATTTTGATAAATTCTTATAAAAATCCTGATTGTCTTATTGAATATTACTACATCTTATAGATTTTTTAAAATATCTTGATTATTTTAATTCAATACCAAATGATTTTTTTTTACTAAAAAAATCTTCACTAAATATCACAAGATTTTTTTATAATAAAAATCTTTTAAACTTTATAAAAATCTTAATTAAATCCACACCTAACCATTATAATATATGAGTAAATTTGTTAACTAAAATATTAAAATGTGCATAGAAATTAAACTAAAAAACAAAATATAAAGGTAAAAAGAGTATTAAGATCCACAATTGGAAGAAAATCAAAATTTAAGCATTAAAACTATACTCTTGGCAAAGTAACTTGCTAATGACTTTTATATTATATACAAGGTGACACTTCTTTAACAGTAAAAGCTAAAACCAAAACAAACACAAACCTTCAATTTCATCATTTCCCTATCCTAGCTTTTCAACTAAATGTATATATGAGTATAACACTAATTAAGTAACACCAATAACAATTCATCATCATCATCATAATAATAATAATAATAATAATAATAATAATAATAAAGAAAAATTACTATAAGCGAAGGTCAAAAATGAAGAGGAAAGGCTTTGCCCATGGCGTTGAGATTAACGCAGAAACCAACCAAATCCTGTCGATACGGCAAATACGATCTTCTCTTATCCTCTCTCCGCATCTCTCTGTTCCGAACGTAAAGCGCCTCGTGCGCCGACACCGCCGCCGTCAACTTCCTCTCGCCGCCGCCACTCGCCGCTACTTTCTTCCCGCCGCCGTCCTTCTTCTTCGCCGACGGCGTCAGAAACACAACCGACTCCTTCCCCTCGCTGTTGCTCCTCCGAAGCAAATCCAGAAGCTTCCACCGCCTCGACGACGAAGATCCCGTCGATTTGCTCTTCCGGCACGGCAACGCCGCCGTCGCCTTAGGCTTCCACACGCAGTACGTCCCCGGCGGAACATTCTCCAGCTCGTCCTCCACCTCCGACGACGAGCACGACGGCGAGTCGTCCATCAGCAGCTTCCCGAGCGTGATCTGAATCGCCTCCTCGCCGGAGCTCCGCCGTCCTCCGTCGCCTTCCGGCGCGGCGAGGTCGCGGTCGAAGATCGGAAACGCCGGACTCGCGGCGTCGAGGAATACGCCTTCGGCGACCTTGCCGAACGCGACGAACTCGAAGTCGTCGTCATCGTCGTTTTGGCTGAAACGGTCGTCGTTTCGTGTGACCTGATCCGCGACGCGGTGGAGCGCGTCGGAGGAATAGGCGCTGAAGCTTGGACACACCAACGAGTCCACACTCTCTTCGCGTTCTTCTTTCTGCATTTTCTTTTCTAATTTTATTTTATTATTTTGGGTTTGTTTTGTTGTGGCGAGGAGAAGTGGTATTTATATAGTGAAGAAGATGGAAAGTAAATGATGACGCATTGTTTTTTTTGTTTTGGTTTTGTATTTATTATGATAATTATTATTATTAGTGATTAATTAATTGATTGTTATGTGGATGTTTCTTTCTTGTTCTGGTTCACTTCCCTCTTGACCGATGACCATATGGAATAATGAAACATGTTTACTCAGATCACTGCCTGCATATTGCCAAAGAAAACCTTTTTTTTTTTGTTTTCTTTCCTTTTTCTTTTTTTTTGGTTTTTTTCTCTCTCCCTATTTTGTCGCCAAACTGTTGTCTCGCAAGTGTGTGTATATGTAATGATACACTTTTGCATACCATTAGTTAAATTTTTAACCAATTTCTCTCCATCTTCGATGAATGATGTGATCAAACATATTTTTTAACTAATAATTATACGATAATCATTTATATAATATTATATATATATATATATATTTTTTTTCTTCATTTATTGCGAAAGAGAAATGTTATTAATGATAAATAATGATAAATACAAAAATTGTTATAAAAGGAAGAAAAATAGAGAGAACAAATAAGACAATGTGAGATGGAGAAAAGAATCTGACTAGTGTAGCGGTTTCGTAGTTGGCCCATGGTTACCCACTGAACCCAGCACCCAGTACCCAGAATCCTTAAGCGCAACTAATTCAACCACCGAACCATTTCATTTTATATTCTTTCTTTAAGCAATCTATTGCTTTTGAAAGCTCTTCACTTGTGGACACATTTTCCTTGTGATTATATACTTTATTGCTTAAAGAATTCTATTATTACTTATTTATTGTTAAAATTTACCCTCATTCAATTTTTTTATTTTTTGATTTATGGTAAACTGGCAGATTTAACTTCTTGTTGAATCAGAATATATTATACTCATAAACTTGACTTCAATTGAACAGGTGAAGAATTCCCGTGACAAATCCATTGTTGGAATTACAAACTACATTGATTTTGGGTTTGAGTTACAAACAAGGTATTCTTTTTTACTCAGATATTCAAACTTATTGCAGTTGCAACAATGTGGTATAATCTAATATTCAATGTGTCAGTGTGGATGAAGCCAGTGGGCGTGACATTTAGAAGCTTTTTAGAGGTCATTCATGCATGCTAAATAGTCCT